TGGAATCCCTGCTGACCAACCACTTACTGAAAATTTACCTTGAATGGCACCATATTTGCTGTTTGAAAGACAACACAAACAGGCTTCAGAGAAAGGAAGTTATCAGGAACCTTTGGGGACAGACAGGAGGTATCGCACTGTGCAATGTATACGATCTGAGGAGAAACCAGAGTGGCACAGCTTGCTATGTGTAAAGCAGGTGTTTAACTAAATTGGATAAGAGGTTCTAATTTAATTTCTTAAATAACCCAACAAACATTGCTACTGTGCGGAAACTTTCTCCAGTCAGGAGTAAGAATCAGTCAAGACCTCACATCCCAACCTCCTGCATTTATCATGACACCTCTGGGTTGCAAAACTTCATTACTACCTTTGCAAATGTGCTCTTAAAGCCCAGGCAGGATCCCATCCAGGGAGCTGAACAGCAGGCAATGGTCTTCTCATGCTAGTGTTTCTCAAGCTCACCCAAGAACATTCTGTGATGCTGACATTTGGAAGGCAAGTCCTGTTGCCTTTTCATCTCTTTGTCACCGCTTGGATGTGTGGAGGGAAAGGCAGGATTGGTTCTACCATATGAAAAACATCTTCTAGGGAGCTGGTGCCAGCCTTGGCAGCTAGGGATGATGTATGATAAGATGGGAACAGCTGCATGTAACTGTCTGTATGTGCTCACAGGGCACTTGACAAGACTTTGTGATCCTGTATGCCCCTTCCAGACTGATAGCTTTAAAAACTGTGTCTCCGTAAAAACAACATACTTAGCTTTAGCTTTAAGTGTCAAGTCACATCATTATATTAATAATTCATGTGTCTTTACTTTCCTTGGGAGTCATCACCACCTTATAACTGATACTACCTGGAGAAGAGGTGGCTTATGGGGAATCTTGGCTCTTCTCAGTGACACCCAGAAAAGGATAAGAGGCAATGGGCACAAATTAAGAAACATTAAATTTAATCTAACCACAACAAAATTTGTTTACAATGAAGATGGTCACAGCAGAGCGGATTGTCCAGAGAGGCTGTGGAGTTTACGAGTGGAGATATTAAAAACCTGACTGGACACGCACCTGTAGCTTAGCTGACCCTGCTTTGGGGAGGATGGACTATGGATGATCTTCAGAGGTCCCTTTCAGCCTCAATAATTCTGTGATTCTGTGATCATCCAAAGACAAACAATAATCACAAGCCTTTCAGGCAACAATGAAGTCTCCTTTCAGATGTTTTCATTTAGCCTAAGTAATAAAATTGTCATTAGGTGGCAGAGAAAATGAAAAAAACAGTGAATATAGCCAGAGGGTTAGGGTAAATCACGTTGAAAGTTCTTGCTTCACATATTTCATAATGATATGAAGTATAACAGGTTTCAAGAAAAGTACTGAGGAAAAAAAAAAACACAAACGTTTTTCTCAGAACATCAACTGCTTGGTGGTAAGGAAATTTTCTGCAATATTAGAAGAGGCAATTAACTTCAGACATAGATTTTCCACGTGCTTGCTGACGGCTCCAGTACTGGGAATATTAGGTACCAGTCATCACCCACAAATTTCATGATTTTGGGAGGGGAACGAGAGTGGAGTTTAGACCAGAACCTCTGAGTTTGAGACTTGAGGATCTGTAAGATGTTAGAACACGATTCACAAAAGAGATGAAAATTGTAAAATTAAAAAACCTCACATGTACACACACATATATATCCCCACCCATGCAAACATGTGAAAATCACAAGGAATACCACAACAGTCAGTTTATCCTGAGTCTAATCTGGTTGTAAGTGAAACACGTGGAAAACCCTGCTCAAAGAGCTGCAGATTCTGCCTAGGAAAGAAAAAAAAAAAAAAAAAAAGGTGAAGTCATCCATGGTTGAAAAGTGAAAGCGGTGTGAAACACTTGTTTGGCTGACCTCCAGATGCTGCTAAAAAGTCAAATCTTGCAGGTAGCTTGGGAAGCTCCAATTTGAAAAAACCTACTACCATGAACTGAAGTTCTGCACAACTTGCTAAAGATAGGATATTGGCAATTTTGCATGACGGCCAGAATCATAGTAGACTATAATGCTCAGCAGGACAAGGGGCAGGCAGTAGCTGTGATAGGGATTTTGGGAGCCTCAGAGCCAACCTGGAAGGAAGTGGGCACTCAGATCATCTACTTTAGATAACTAAGTGTGATCCATAGCACTCGAAGTAATTAAACTATGTTCCTTAGGTAGTGAGTGGACAGTCACAGATAAATTCAGAGAACCTAAGTCAGGTCCTCATATAAAATGATGTGAATGCTTTTCTGTATCAAATCGGCTAGCCAAATCCCCAGAAGGACTCAGGAAGAGTTACAGGCTTCAAAGGGAGACTGAAAACAGGCAACACATTAGAACAGTCATACTAAGTCAATGTCCTAGGTGCGCAACTACAAATAGCTAGCCAAAAAGGAACCACTGAGGCTGGGTCAGGCCCCAAATCTTATCCCTCAAATATCTTGAACTTCTCTGCTGGAAAGCAGAACTTTGCCCTAAGGATCTAGACCTACAGTCTCCTCTTGGAGCTAAAATGGCTGTGATTTGCTTTCAAATGCTGAGTAAGGCTTGGGTCATTGAAAGAGGCAAATCAATAACCTCTTTTATACAAAAGGCTAGTGGTAAAAGCATTGTCAAATGTAGTTCTGCATTTTATCTGAGGTCACTGAAACCCACATTCCAGAGAACTACTCTTTTATCCACTGAGGCGGCAGTGGAGGACTCTACACTCAAGTTGTGTTTACGTTCCTGCAAAAGAAAGAATTACAATTCATTTGAATAAAGAAAGAATTCAAATACGAACATGATTCTGTGATCTGGTGGTTAGACACTCCTGTGGGATGGGGGATACTTGCTTCACAGACTACTTTTCAACATTAAAGGTCTGGAACTTCCTTTAAGTCTTTCAGAAATAAAAACCCAGCAACATCCAGGGCTTTGGGAAGAACATTTTATTGCTAAGCATATCTTTAAACAAAATGCGAATAAGAAAAGAAAAAGAATCAAAAAGGAAGAAGAAAAAGAAAGGAGAAAAAAATCAATAACATCACGATAACTCAAATAAAAATTCTTAAGGTTGTCCATAAAGCAACAGGGATATGGTAGAAGCCCACATACAGAAATGCACATGTTCCCAAAAACTGTCCAATAGAAACTTACACAAAAAAAGGAAAGTGTAAATCTTTTTCCCTTAACTTAAAAAAAGGAAAGCAAAAAGGAAAGGAAGAAAGAAAGCAGGAAATAATTTCACAAGACTCCAAGACTCCAAGAACAGCAATCTTTTACAGACATCAAGATATAATCAACTTTATATAGTTTCGGCCAGTTAAGTCATCTAAAATCGTGCTTTCATACCTTTTTAAAACCTGTCTTTTTTTTTCTTTTTAGTATAAAAAATAAAAAAGGAAAAAAAAGCTCAACCTTGCACGCACGCACACGCACCACACACACACACACATACACGCACTGAAAATACTTGTTAACATGAAAGCGTCTTCTCTAAATGTTTGAGAAGGCTGTGTTTTTTTTTTTTTAATTTAAGTTCCCATGTGCGTGTGTGTATTTGATGACACTTCTTCAAAGTCAAATATTCATGCGACTTATAAACACCAGCAAGAGTAGATTTCTAAACCTAAACAGCTGATTAGTTTTCATCTGTATACAGAAAAAGTGTACATTTCTGATATTCCAGATTCTCAATCCATCTTGGCTTTTGTTGTTTTCCTCTCTGTCTCTCTGTATCTCTCTCCCTCATTTGCTTTTTTGCACATGATAGGCATGGCCGTCAAACCACCTGGCTATTGTTCTGTACAGTAAGATAATCCTTTTCACAATAACTGGGAAAATGTAAAATGCGAACAACCAAATTAAATAAGTTAAATAAAACCAAAAGACATTCCCAATTTAACCATAAAACTGTATATACACCATCAGGGTATCCATATAGAAATTATACTAGCAAAAAAAATAGTAGTAAAATATGTAAACAAAATTTCAGATTTTTTTTTTTTTTGACACAGGTAACTGTGACAAAGCTAAAACACACTTCTCTTCACATTTTAAGGTTTGCTTTTGTTGTCTGTTTCATTTTACTTTGTTCTTCAAGTACATTCTCATTCCACGTTTAGACCATAACAGAACTTCTGTTCCAGTCGTCCCATCAAACATACCATGATAAATATATCTGTGTGTATATATATATATTATATTATTAAATTCCTTTTTCTTTATTATTTTCTTGTGTGTCACAGCAGCTTTATTTATTTTCTTTTATATAAAAGAGAAGGAAAAGGGAGAATAGGGCAGATGGAAAGACAGAGATGATCTGAAATGTCAAGCTACAAAATTAAAATATCACATATGAAAAACAGTTTTATGTCAAAAAACCCTATGTATTTTGCATTCTTTTACAAGTGTTTAGCTTTTCTGACATTTATGGGTCTCATCACAAGTTGAGCTCCAGTGGTGTCTTTCTGATCTCTTTATTAAGCTGATTTATTATTATTTTTTTGCATGCATTGCAATCAGTCCAAGAACCAGAACCCAGAGGAAGGCTCCTTTATTTTTGCATGGTATATTCAGCTCAGAATGGCTAACCATTTTTTAAGCATTCTTTTTTGAATCTTCACACCCTTTAACCATAGTTCGGCTGTGCTAATGCATACTAAGTGATATTCTCAAATAAAGCCAATCACTGATCAGAACAGACCCAAACTCATCTATTCTTCAGTTCAATTGCAAATACTGGAGCCAGATCCAAGGGAACCAGCTTTCCATGATAATTTTCTTCAGCACCACCCATCAGACACTTTCACTGCGTTGTTAGCAAACAACTTACTGCAAGACGACGGATTCTAGAGACAACACAATCAGATATGCAGAGTAAACACCATGGGTAGCTTTTGAGTTCATATATGGCAATAGTCTTTCTTTATTTATTATGGATTTTTTTTTTACGAGATTTCTTCTCAACTCATGCCCTGGTTCACCCCCACACCATTCCTCTCCACCCTTCCCTCCCACACCCAAAAGTAACCAAAAAAACCCAAACAAAAAACAACCCAAGAAATCAAACCAAACCAATCCAAACCAAACAACCAACAATCTCCAAAACATTTATTCCCCTCTTCCAATCTCGAAAAATTATATGTATGCTGGACATGGCCAGATCAGTTTGATCAATATTTTTTTGTTGTTTAATAATGTTTGCATTTTTTCTTTTTCCTTCTTTTTTTTTTTTTTTAAATAAGTAAACTGAAAAATTATCGATACAGTCAGGGATCACGAACATTGTTAAAGACTCACTTGGAGATATGAAACAAGTAAGCCATGAAGTCTTCTACCTTTGCAGAAAGTTCAGCGGAGGAGGAGATTTGGAGACGTCCAAGTTCACTAACAGGGCAGAGCTGTGCACACCATCTCCAGAACACTAAGTGTGCTTTATAATACATTAGGGCAGAGTTTGCTGACTCCAAGCGATGACTGAGACATTAACAGTCACTGCTGAAATTTTTTTTTCCCAATACTTTTTCCCACAAACGATATCTCCCAATCTCATACGCTGCAATGGTTCTGATATTTCAGTTAAATCTCATTAAGTATTTATATATTTATATATAAATAAGTATTCTTTTTTACACATAATACTCTTTGTCCTTGTTTTTCTGTTTCTTGTGGCCGCTCTTTGAGCTCTGCTGCTTCTCCTTCACGAGCGTGCCGTTGCTCTGGGCCGAGTTGCTGATGTAATTCCGCGTCTCGTCCACCTGATAGGACCCCTCGTCCCTGTTCCTGTACTTGTACATGGCGTACAGGAGGATGAGGATGCAGAGGGCGGCAGCAGCCACAATGCCGACGACCATCCCCGTTGTGCTGCTCGACTCGCGGACCACCTCTGAGGCCCCCGGAACCCGTCTGATTCCTGGCTCTGTGGGGTTTGCTGTGGGCACATTACGGAACATGGGGGAAGTGATTAGCGGGCTCTTCAGCTTTGTGCTGTCTAGCTCATAGGCAGTGGGCAACGGAAGCAAGACTATGTCAGGCTGGGGTTTGAGCTCACGGTTATTCATTTTGCCGGCTGGCAATTTGGGCACCATCCCAGTCGAGGACGAAGCTGTGGAGCGGATCAGCTCAGGGGACAAAGACGTGGTAGTAGTCCTACCAGTTTCGGAGACTTTGTTAGGTCTAAAGTCCTTGGATTCCCACTTGGGTGCGTGTGCTTTGTAGCCACCTTCGAAGATTGAAGTGGAAAGACTCTTATCTGTTACCAAGGAGAAGGTGGTGTAAAAATCTTCATCATCAGTAGGGGGTAGGTTAGAGTCAAAGGTTTCCCCTGAGCCATACCCAGATATCACCAAGCCATCATCATCACAACCATCGCTGCCTTGGTCCGACAAGCAAGGTAACCCCGCCTCAGAGGTCATGGACAGGGAATCTTTGGTGGTCTCAATAATGGTGAGGAGGGGGCGAAAGGTAGGGGGAAGTGTAATGAAAGGTGCACGAGTAGCAATAGGAGGGATATCTAAAGGGTCTTCTACAAGTAGAGGGATAACTAATTCACCTCCTGGGATGGAAAAGAGAAAAAAAAAGAAAATTAGTACATTTTAATAACACATTTCAATTCACTTACTTAACTCAAGGGCAGTAGAGGATTTGGGCATTACGAAAAAGTGTCAGGGGTCAGATTTCTCACCTAAGTACACTACCAACATACTTTCCTGGGTGTGCCTTTCATTCTTCCCTCCCACCCTGCTTTGATGTTGGTAAACTGCATGTTCCATTTCCACCCTCTATTAGCCTACGCTAGGTACATACAGTGAAACACTGAATTTTTTGACGCCCCAAGTTTTTTATTTTTTGAAGATACTCTCAAGTGACTCTGAGGTCCTTAATTTTTGGTAGTGATCTTTCTTAAGCATTTGGTTACAAGACTGTTTAAATTAACTATTTTAGACGATGTTCTTCGAGATGGATTTTACCACTCATCTTGCCAGTTTTTCCTCCTCTGATTCTTTTCATTTAAGATACCATTGGTATTTCTTTTCTGCCACTTAAGTCTGCTCACCTTCCATGGCAGTTTCTGAGGCCTTTCCCTAAGGCCTTTCCCATTCATTCAGTTCTTCTTTATTGTTGCCTGGTTTTTAAATTGCAGGAAGGTTCATGAAAGTTAGGGATGGAATAAGAACCAAGTACTTACTGGAGTCCATGAAGGTACAGAGCTCTACTCAATGCTCGTTCACCTCTGTTAAATCTTTCTTTACCATTCTGTTTGGCACTAGGGATGTCCCTTTCCTTTTGGAGCTACTAATGCCACACCATCGTGATCTTCAGTTCTTCTTGAGAGTCTTTTACTATAATTTGATTAAAAATTAAGATGATAGACTTTATTGTGATTGATGACATAACTAAGTAAGGACTCTGACGATCCAAATTAATGCTGAGATCAGCCGTGTACTGCAAAATTTGTCTTCATACCTACTGTTATTTCTTGATATGCAGATGGCTGTGATCAGTGCTACTTTTCCTAGTGTGACGGCTACCTGCCTACAGAAGACTAAAACCGAGGCGAGTTTATGGTCTACTCTTGACGTAGAACAACAAAGTCATAGGTATAATATTTGTACCTTACCACAGTATAAGTTGCAACGGAAACAAGAAAATCAGTGCATAATTTCCAAGATTTGGCTTCTGCGTAGCAATATCAATACTTTTAGGGTAGTAGTCTTGTTTTGTCTATATATTGTAATATGACTGTACTTCTGTATTTGAGTCTATGGATAGCTATCACTCCATCATTGTACTCTGATGTGGAGGCATAATTAATTTCTTTAATTCATTTAGTTCAGATCATATAGTTTTCTGCTGACATCAGGTCACCCACATTTTTTAGAGTGAGCCATATTTGCTTTTGAAAGTCTGTGTATAAATTCACTCTTGGGTAATTTTTCTTTGGCTAACCACTTGAACTAGCTGCTTTAAATATAAGCCGAAGATTTAACCTGACACCATGAGTAATCACGTAGATCTGTTGGAAGGGGTACAACTCCGTAGGATATATTTCTAATGCATGGGAAATTTTGATTTATACTCACCATTACTTAAGGAAAGATATGCAAAAATAATTTTATCTTCTAAATAAATAATTCTGGCTTTTACTTATGTATTAGTAACTGCTAATAAACAGTTTGCCATTGTTATGATGATGAACAGCATCAGGGTTAAAATTCTGCTCTGTCCTATCTACACTATATACCACATGCTCTTGTTTCCTATTCAGTACTGCCAGTAACGTCCATGGGAGTTTTATAAAGAATATGGTTTAAAATCATAAACCCTTCTAAATATACTTGGAGAGTAATATATTTGAACAAATTACATATCAAAGATAGCAATATACTTAACAGTCTGATTAAAGCTGGATAGCTGAACTAGCAATATGGCTTATTCTTATCCTTAATGAGAAACTAAGTGGTGACACAGTTTAATCAATTGAAATGGTCAGACTTATCTCAGAGGTACCAGCATAGAAATTAGGCCAGAACAACAAACATGGTACTTTACATAGTCTCTTAACATACTTTGATGCAAAGTTAGTTCTAAGCTAAGAGGCAAAGGATTAATTTAAATATGTTTAGTTTTCTGAGATTCCTCAGCATGTTCATACCACTTCTGTTATTGTATAGAGGAAGAAAAAATATCATATGTGTAAAATAATGCCAATCTCTTCAAACTACACATATTAAAAAAAAAATTATGGAAAAAGGAGAAAGTGTAGTCTGCCAAATGGCTACACAGCAATTTGTGCTCACACATCTGAGCTGTATCCTGTGTGATGTAGAAACTGAAGCATGTAATATGATTTATATACGTCCAGAAGCCCTATCCATAGTTAGTGTAGGGCATCTATAATCTACGGAAATAAGTGGTCCCAAGATAAACTTGAAGCATGCCTCAGAGGGAAAGATTGTCTATGGGTCTGGTAAAAAATGAATAAAAACAACAGCATTTAAGTGCACATTACATCAAATTGCGTAATTCAGGAATTGAAGTTCCAGAAAGTCAGGGATACACTTCTTGAGGTATGTGATTTATAGAGGAGTTAAAACATCCTTTAAAACGGTGTGATAAAAATGCCACTCAGACTAAAAAGAAATGTGTTATTTAAGGATAACGGAGAACGTAAATTCTGAAAAGCTCTGAGGAAAGTGTGAGAAACGTGATCACCAACATCTATGGAGGGGGGCAAGTGCAAACTTTGATATCACACCTGCGGATGACTCTGTTACTGGTACTACATTTCTACTCGTAAGGGACACCAGGGGGAGTCTGATGACAGGCAGACGATAAGTGTGCGTGTAGGGGGAACCATCTTTCACAAAACGACAGCTGAAGCAGCGGGAAGCTGCCCAGAGCCAGCTGTCCTTTGCAGGAGAAGTGGTGCCTCCTGCCCAGGGCCCCGAGTTGGTTTAAAGGTAAGCTCTGAAAGATCTAAACGACAAAGTGCCACTCAGTTACCAAGAACGTCTTACACGAGAGTTGGATCCTAAAAGGTTTGATGTGGAAGGCAAATGCTTTAAAGATTTGGATCTCTAGAAAAAAAGCTCAAGATAAGCCCCTGAAAAAGCTCACATGATGCTCTGGAAAGCCAATACATTTGAGATAGGTTTTATGTTTTTATTTTCCTATCTGAAGTTTTGATTTTCTCCAGTGTCTGCCATTTTTTCAATCATAAAAGTCACGCTTTGCAGCCTGGAATAAAACTTAAAGTTTTAATTGCCAAATTGTTCTGTGCTTAAAACAAAATGGCAAGGCTGCCACCCAGTTTGGACCATGGGTTCAAAATAAATATTCATATGACACTTAGATTCTGTTTGTGGATAATATGGACTGTTTCCTGGTAGCTACAGGTTTCTTTCCCCCTTTCATCTGTTGGCTGTTAAGCACTAGTTAACAGTGTTCACTGTTAAGTACAGGATTGCTTTAGCAATCCAAAGATTTCACAAGGATTTTCCAGATTTATTTTTCACCTGCTCTGTACTTTTTTTCCCAAGCAGGGAATTTATGTTTCTCAAGCAGAAATAGGTTTTTAAAAAAGCTTCTGTTGACAACACAACACCAAAGAATTAAACAAAAGGGAAACATATGAAACATTTCCCTCTGTAGTGATATAGATGCAAAATTAGTTCGCTCATCAACAGTATAGTTGCAAAAAAGTCACTAAACAGCAAATTGGAAGCAGCATTGAGAGAACTGGGGTCTGTGAGGTGGGAAACCCTATACTGAGCAGCCAGGTGCTCTGCTTGGCCTTCTCATTCCACAGAGCAAACACAGTGGGCATATATTCCTTAAAAGTTAGCCTTTAAATCTAGCACATATACTATTTTCACAGAGTTGTGCTTTTCTTTAAACTACCAAGATCATTTGGGATATAAAAGGTCTACTTTAGCCTTGGAGCTGCCCTGCTTTTTGCTTTATGAGCGTATTTATAGATACATAATTCATACCTCTGGGGCTGATCTCCAGTAAGAGTTCTCTGCCACTGGAAAATACAGAGTGTTAAAAATTTAATAGAAGCCTTATGAACTGTGAGGATGTTGTGGGTGAGTCATGAATGCAGAGGGCATTAAAAAAAAAAAGAAAGAAAGAAAAAAAAAACACCTGAAAAACTGTAGCAGCTGCTGGCTTTCATCTTTAGAGCCACAACTACTTGACTGGAGTCTCAGGCATCAAACTGATACAGGACAAAAGGCACACAAAAATGAAGCCTGAAAGATTAATCTCCTGATGATGATAGGGAGATAAGGGACACACCCTTATCGTCTCTCTCTTTTCCAGCTGTGGCTGAAGAGCTTATAGATGCCATCCAAAAAGGCTGCACAACTCATCCATTTCTGTAGGTACTTGAAACTCTGCGTCTAAAGTTTGTCATTTGCCTTTCATTCTTATGCTGTTCCTCTGAAGTTTGACTCCACTTTCAGTATGAAATACTTGCCACAGAAAATAATTCCTTACCTTTTCTTCCTCTGTATCAACAGAATAATTCCTTCTTAAATGACTGAGTTAATAAATTTCAGACTAATGGTGTTTTAGTTTATTCTTCTTTGAACCTTCTGGGGAAATTATTCAGAACGTAGTTCCTGATTCACAGGAAAGATGATGCTAACACGGAATCTGGTAGATGAACATTCTTGATATTTTCTACTCTTTGCAGTCTGATATAATTGCAATTGACAGTCAGTAGCAGAGAAAAAACCATCATTTTCACAACAGAATACTGCAACTTTTCATGTCAAATATCTCCTTTTCCTTTCAGAGAATATATAGTCCTCAAAGTGATTAGATAAAACTGTACTTCTTCTTGTGGAGCTGGTTGAAAAGCTTTCTTAAGCCCCTCAAACTGTATGAAAATACAGTAGTATTGCAGTGCTTCCTAATACCTGGCTTATGAGCAACGACAATGTATAGAGTTTGAGTTCATGAATCTCATGTTAATGCTGGACTCCATTGCTGTAAATTCTTGGTTACCTTTGTGCAAACAGTTTAAGTGAAATAGATATTAAGACT